TGTAGATCCCACCCTCTATGTACCTACAGTATGCACAGGTGGAACTTGATTGTGCTAGCACTAGAGTTTCAGTGTAGGATTCATCAATCCAGACATGTTCTGAACTGCCAACAGTGGTAGGCCTGAACTTCCAAGTTGGTGAGAGACTGTCAGCACATCAGCAGAGACAGGAAATCCACTTCAGACCAGCTCTACTGTGGTCCTGTAGACCAAATGCCCATCAGTAGTGTGAGTGCCTTAGGTGCGTGTCTGGAGTCTATCCTCAAGTTTAGTTTAATTTGAAAGGAATCCAGGTCACGAAACAAACAGAATGCAAACAGAAATATATTAACTGTCCCTGACTGGATTTACTGTAAATATGCACTCCTGATCTGAATTAAAACACTCGTATGGATATGCTTTTTTTCAGAAGCAGATATTACTTGTTTGACAGAATGTCCTGTTGACACCAAAGATCCCACTAACATGTCATAGAAAGAGCTGAGTGCATTTGAAACTCCAGTTTTGTACTTTGGAGAAGACTTCTTAGTATGGGCTGATTCCATAGCATAACTTTAAAAATAATGGCAGCACAATAGGACTGATTCAAGACTTTCCACTAAAGCTACACTTCACTTTCTTCCTGCAGGAATTATTGTACATTTTGTAATTATTCATTTGTTTTCTGCTCTAATACAAGCAGTTATACTAACTCTATACTATACTATTCCCCTCACCTTTGATGTTCATATGCTAATACTTCCCCTATGCAGAATCACTCGTCTTCTAGATAAGTTAACATAGAACTATTGCTTCGCCCCAGAATTTCCACTTTCCAGTAGTCGTGTTCTAGCTCCAAATGTTAAACAAGTTGCATGCAGAGTTTATGTACTGTTCACCATATGTGCAGTCACTTCTTGTGTTGCTGTCAATGGTTTTATTATTTTCCATCTTTACCTCAAGTGTTGAGCTCAATGACTAGGTCTGAAAGTGATAATTACTTCCTCTCTGCAGAGACAAACTGATTTACATATTTATCAAGGGGAAACTGGATGACTCTGAGCATACCACAAAAACATTTGCATATTTATAACCTGAAATGTAAAAAGCCCTAAAATTAAGATAGGGATGTCTTGGTCTTAGTTACTAAGCTTGTTTTTATACAATGGTTTTAGTCAGTGTATTTTGTAATCAGATCAGTGCATTAAAGAGTGAAGTATCTTTTTTCATCATGCAAAACCAACATAGAGATTAAAATGATTATTAGTTTCTGAATGATGGTGTGCAGAACTTGCAACATTAAGTTTTTGTAAGGTGAAAATCAGCCTTTGATTCCCGAAGAGATGATGCACTGTGGAATTACCTTAATTAAATCCTGTATCAGAAAGAGGGTCCCAACAGGTTTATTGTATAGAGGTTATATAGTTGAACAGCTTCAGTATCTTTTCTGGGAGAAATGTGGGATTCCAGATGCTTATACATATAGGATTAATTTGTAGGAGTTTATGCATGTACTCAAAGGACTCCTGGGTGCCAGTCACAGAGGTGGTCGCCTTCAGCTGACTACGTTAGTTGTGATTCTGATTAATGATTCTACTCAAAACCAAACATTGGTATCAGTAGGGAATTCTGAAACCACAAATAAAAATAATTTAAAAAAACAACAACAACAACAACAAAACCCACAACGAACTGCCTCTTCTATGTAGAGATGTGATGGCTGGTCTTCCCAGATCACTCTTTGTCCAGTAATTGTCTCAAGATTACTGGAAGCTTCTGAATAAAACAGAAGGTTTTAGAAGTCTGTTGGAGGGGGGAAAAAATGTTGTATTTACAGGAATTCCCTTTATCATGAACTGTCTTGTTCTGAGAGAGATCGTTAACCCTCCTTCTGAATCTGATTCTTTCTGCAAATCTGGAGAATTACTTTAAAGCTTTCCTCAATATTTTGTCCTAATGCCTAGATTACACAGAGGTCTTCTGTATTCTGGACTTCTTAATTCATAATTTTAGAAGACTCTGAATTATTTCAAATTAATACAAATAATATTTCTGTCCTACTGACTTCAAATGTCGGTAAACTAATTTACGAATTGGATGCATTTGCTCATATGCTTGCTTGACTAAACCTTTGGGCAGTTTTTCAAATCACTAACATATTTGTAAACACATTATTGTTTTTAACTTAGTTCTAAAGTCTCTGTGAAACCTACAGAAATAATAAAGTGGAGGAGTAAAGAAGAAATTAAGTTGTTAGAAGAAAACAGTAGAGGATGTATTTAGCCTACTTTGTAGTATTTGCTTCCAAAATTAGTGTAATATTGCATGTGAAAGGTATCTGCTCATAGAGATCCACAATACATTCTTTACATTTTTCTTCTGTATTGGTTACTATTTAGAAATGCAAATAAGTGAATGTGTTGCTTGTGTTAACAGTAGCCATATCATTCAAATGCACTTTCATGGGGCTTATCTCCTAGTAGCACACACTGTACTGTTTATTTATAGTTTTCATTCTAGAAGGTGTCAGTGTTCAAGATGAAAATAAAAATGGAAGTTTTGCTTAATTTCTGAAGTGCATTTGTGATTGCCATTCTCTGACAATAGTGTCATTTGAATTATGACTATTAGTCCATCTGTACTGCAAAATGTTGTTGCTAAAATAAACTGTCATTTTAGCATTTGTTAATTAATGCTAATATAACCAATCCTTTTTGTGTTTAAAAATCCAAATGAAGGAAATGGAAGTTTTACTACTGAGTTCAACAAGCTTTGGATGAGACTTTCTGTGCATTTTATTGGGTTTTTTTGGTTTATTGGTATTTTTGGGTTTTGTTGTTCGTTTTTTTTTCTGAAATGGTAACATTAGAGTGCCAGAATTTATCTGTTTTTTCAGGCCAAGTCAAGCTGATCAACCTTGCTTCAAAAGATAAATCATTATAATGATGACTGCTTTAATTATTTGTATTAGTGAGACATTTTTCATTGCTTTTCATTTTCCCCAAAATGATTAGGAAATCAAAATATCTATTATTGAATGACAGCAGATGTCTCTGATCACCAGACATTATTTAATGTGATGTACTGAGTGGAATTCTCATTTTATTTTCATTTTGTTTTATATACAGGGTGAATTTTAAAATCACATTTCATCAAGGAAAACTGTAAATAAAAATACGTTTGTGCTTGCCATTACACATATGTTTGTTTGTGCAAACCCATTTATTATTATAATCATAGAATCATAAAATCATAGGTTGCTAGAGGTTGGAAGGGAACTCAGGAGGCCATGTGGTTGAATATACATACATAATGTCCTAATTTATTTATATACTCTACTTTTCTGCCATCAGTGCCAGCTTTCCAAGGGATATTATAATTACTTAGTAAGTACTTTCTCCAGACAACCTCAGAGATGAATTGGAAATTGCCTTTCTCTTTTCTGGCACTAAGTCCACCTGCTGCAGAAGGCAAATGGCTTGTCAGATGGATCTGCGTGATTTTCCCTCAACCCACCAACTTTAAAATGTCAGCCTCTATAACAGATTTTCCTCAGCTCTGTTGGGAAATTTCAACTCCCGCAAGGTTGCAAAATTTACATAAACAAACTCTCCTACTCTTACATTTCTTCTTTGCTCCTAGTTTACAAACAAGACTAATAGGTATCACTTATTTAACTACTGATGTTCCTTTATTCATCATACAGTCATTTGAGCTGATAAGAAATGAAGACAGTCAACCTTTTTAAAAAAGCAGTTGTAGAATGCTATAACATTAAAAGACATGTAGAAATATTAGCACTAAGATAAGGTAACTACTCCTTATCCAGAAAAAAGAGTATAGCAAAAGAAACGTGATCTGAAAATCTTTAAAGAAGACTCAGTATTTAAAAGTTCTTATCTCAGCTTCATTGACACAATAATTGGGCATCAGCTGATGAATTAATTCTTAGTTGACAGGTGAGCAAATGAAAATTAACATTGAAATTGGACCAGTCTTGGGTGTTTAAGTAAAAAGAGTAAAGATAAAATGGTTGTGAAGACAGAATTATCTTTATATGCTCTGAGATCCCTAAAGGACAAGGTTAAAGCTCATTTGCAGGCTGATGTGAAGAACTATATTCTTAAACCTTGGTCATTTTCCAGGACCAATAATTTTAGATTCCATATGAAATTCACTGGAGCAAGTTACAAAGAATGGCTTCACTCTCCTTCATACAGAAACACTCTTTAAAGAGCTCAGTCTAAATAGGTTTGAATGTAATCTGTGTGTCCTGCCAGGCTCTCGACAGTGCCAGTGTGAGGAGTCCTATGTGAAAAAAAAGCATGAGCCCGCATGCCTTAGAGTTACACAGCATATCCATGTGGAAGCCTCTTTTAAAATATGCATGTGTATGTATTAATTTGCACATTTTGAGTTTAGTTGATGTTTATTCTTATATGATGAGAAATCAGGGACTAATTAGTAGGTTTGATAATGAAACATGGGGTCTCCAGAGGCACTCCATACAATAGCTTCCTTTTTTCTTAGAATGTCTTAGTCTAATACTCACACTGAGATTTTTGCTGTGCTGCCTCTATAGGTTGCTAAGCAGCAAAGCTTTACTCCCAAACTGTTAGCTCTATTCTGCATGCTGAGACTCTTTCGGATATCCTCAGTGGTTTGAATCTTTTTGCTGAGGGGTTTCCTTGATTGAGAGCAACTGCTTCCAAAGGTCACTGGCCTTCTGTGGATCAGCCTTTTTCTCCGATGCCATAAGTCCTCTCATTTTATACTTCAAGTAACCCTGCAGCAATCGAGCCATGGTCCTGATTGCAACTAGCCTTGCGCAATTGTCCCCGACTGTATGCTGCATGATGCCAATCACTATGTATAATAATGTTTATATGGAAAGTGATCTTAATAAGGCATAAGGACAAAAATATTTGTATATGCCAAGGGTAATGAAAAAGCCAGTCAAAGACATTAAAACTGTTCTTTCTTCTTTTTTTTTTTTTATTTTTTTATTTTTTATTTTCTAGGGCAGGTTCTGGATGTGCTGGACAAATATAACCTGAGTGATAAAACTCTTGTATACTTTACGTCTGACCAAGGGGCTCATGTTGAAGAAATCTCCAGTTCTGGAGAAGTCCATGGAGGATACAATGGCATATATAAAGGTGAACATTCTCTTATGATCCTTAAAAACTGTGTCAGAAACTATAATCTCCTTGTTTTCACTCCAAAACTTTAATGTGCTCTGTGGCCAAGGTCAAAACTCGATTCCTTAATAGTAAACTTCTCATAACTGTCATTCTAAATTCAAACAGAGGTAGTAAATTTAAGGGATTTACTTGTCAAACACAGCAGCTCAGCCAGAGTACGTGCTCAGCCAGAGCTTTGTGGAATTTTAACACTAGCAAATATAACTCCTGAACTGGGCAGAGATACAGCTTTGGAAGGATGTCAGTTCATAGTACTTACTATAATGGCTGGATAGCAGAATAGAAAGGAAAAAAGTGGCTTGTGAGCCACCAGGAATCATAATTAGGAGTTAAATACCATGGAGTGAGTGGGATCACACAAACATAAGATACAGAGAAGATAGAAGAACCATCAAAAGAGTCTATTATATTCATTACAGAAAAAGTAGAAAAGGAAATTTAGGTTAAAAAAAGAAAAAATTAAGAGTTGGATTGATTTTGGAGTGGGCAAGTTCTACAACAGCCAGAAGAGGACAAGATTTCAAGCAGAAAATGCTGAGAGAGTTTTGAAAGTAATGCATAACACACTTAATTGAGGACTGATTTAGAAATGGAGAGACTTTAGTTAAAAGGACAAAGTTTAGTTGTATTCTTTTAGTGAAAGTCTTGAGGAGATTAGTACACCAAAATCTGTTTATTCTGTGGAGACTTAAAATGTGTTTAAAGTCTACTTTATTGTAATTCACCTTCTCCTGGTGATATCACACAGCAGTAGTGAAAGGAACTTCTTTCGTTGCACTATGGTCGTTTATAAAAAAGAAAAATTCCAGCTTAACAAATAGCTTTCCTCATTTTGTCCATTCCTATATCCCTGGCATGGTGATCCCTTCAGTCAGC